CTTGTGTCGCTAAAACTGGCGTACGGAAGGCTTCTATCACAGGTCAGAGGCAGGTCGACACCTCACCAGGCTCTCCTATTGCATGCTGCTTTATAAACTTGGGGTGTGATGCATACGGAAGCTATTTTTAGATTCTGAGAAGTAACCAGGGCAGGTCAATTAGAGAAGATCAAAATTCATGCTGTAACCAAAATGGTGGTGTCTACCAAATGTTTTTCCCCCTCTCAGAGTCCCAGAAACTGGAATGAAGTAGACAGATGGAGAAGAGATAGGAGCTCAGAAAGCCACCCCACAAAGCTTCGATCACTCTGAGACTGATCACCCAGGTGAGCTTGTATGGACCTCGTTCTAACCAACACACCAAGGATGTTGAGTGGAACTCAAGCACTGACCACTACCGGGCACACAAGCAGGAGGAGCCAAACAACACTGCAAAATAGTTGGAAAACTATCATAACCACAGCCTATGTGACCAAAAATATAACCATTTTCCACAGGAGTTAAAAACCATAGGGTCATAAATAATACTTAAAACACCCAGAGTAGAATCTAAAATTTCTAGCCATATAAGGTATCAGAAAAATTCCAACTCACAGAGGGAAAGACAACCCATAGACACTAGCACCAAGATTACATAGAAACACAATTATATGACAAATAAATTACCATAATTCACAATGACACGATCCCCAATGTGGAAGACCCAAAAAGTTCCCACAAAAGATACTCAGAACAAAAAGGATTAAAATTTGTTATTCAGATGTACCAACAACCTGTGATAAATGTAATAATTATACACTGCAAACACGTACTAATAAAAGTAAAAATTAAAGAAGTATTACATGGGGGCGTGGACATAGCTCAGTGGCACAGTGCCTGCCTGGCAAGCACGAGGTCCTGAATTCAATTCCCAGTTCCAAAAAATAAAAATAAAAAAGAATTATATGACAAAGAATTTAAAGCTACTATTATACAAATAGTCTAACAAGCAATCACAAACACTTCTGAAGCAAATGGAAAAAAGCAAAATCCCAGCAAAGAAATAGCAAAACCAAAAGAAAATTACAGAACTGAAGAATATAGGAACTGCAACTAAAACAAAGCAAAGCACATTTAGACAGGCTCCAAAGCTGACTGAGGATGACAAAGGGAACGATGGGGAAACTTGATGATGGACTAATAAAAATATACAATCTGAACAATGAGAAGCAAAATGACTGACAAAACTGAACACAGCCTCAGAGAATGGCAGGACAGTAACAAGCTCGGATGCTGCCATCATTAGAATCCCATAAAGAAGAAAAAAGAGAGTAATATTTGAAAATATTTTTTAAAAAACATGTATTAAGTATGGAAGAATACAAAGCCTATGGATTCAGACAGTTCAGAGAACCTTAAATGGGATAAACTCAGAGAAATCCACCCGCAGAAACCCAACACCATGATCTAAATGCTGAAAACTAAAAACAAAAACAACAAGCTTTAAAGCAGCTAGAGAAAAAAGATGAATAATCTATGGGAAACAATTCAAATGATGGTAGGTTTCTCTCTGGAAACCAGAGAAGCCAGAAGGAAGCAGCACGTTTAAGGTGCTTAGAGAGAAGAATTGTCAACCCAGAATTCTACACACCATAAAAAAGAATCCTTCAGGAATGAAGGTGAAATAAAGACATTCTCAGGTGAGCAAAAAACTGAGAGAATCTGTTGCCAGTAGACCTGCTTTTTAAAAAGTTGCTAACAGAAATTCTTCAGTCAGAGGGAGATGATACCAGAAGGAGACTTGGAAAACCAGGAGTGGGGAAGACCACCCTCAAGTGGCAACTGTCTGGGTAAACATGACATTCTCCTCAGGGGTTCTTTAAAACATATTGGAAAATTTAAAGCAAAAACTAAAGCACTGTTGTGGGACCTTTTAACGAACGGTGATTGACTGTGTAACATAAAGAGACCTACAGAGTAAGGTTTCTGCGTTTCCCCTTCAAGAGGCGCCATATTGATTCAAAGCTGTCTGCGGGAAGATCGAGTGGTGGCTTCAGGAGTTCTCAGCCTGATCCATCATTGGACTGCTCCTCATCAATTTTTCACCTGCAGGTTTCGGCAGCCATTGATGATCATTACCTAGATCCATTCCCCATTAAGGGTTATGAAACTGTGCTCTAATTCTCTCACACTTCTATTGGCTGTTTATTTTCTTAAACCAGCTATCTGATTACTCTGAAGTATAATGCATACAAGCAGGAGAGTGTAAGTGTTTGATTCTTTCCTTTTATTTATTAGTTCTCACAAGACCGAGTTAGAATCACAAATTCTAAACAGTAGAAGAAAGAACATTGCTGGTTTAATCCCTACTGACATAATCTAGGAAAGATAAAATTTACTCAGTTAGACAAATTAAAGACCAATATCCAAACATGTAAATTGTACAGGGCCTTAGTTATGGTAAGGAATATAAAGGATAACAATCATTTTGAGCACAGTAATGCTTTTCACTGTCATTGGATTGCTCTCTTGTATTGTGTATGTGTGTATAAAACTTCTCCCTAAGATGATGAGATCCCAGGACAGCAGGAAGCTGAGATCAAGCTGGAATACACTCACCAAACGACTAAATGAGTTATAAAAGAAGCATTCCTTGGACACTCCAAGCCAAAGGCAAAATTCTAATGAATATGGCCTTTACTTTTATCACATATTTTTTAAAAACCACTACATATTTTTAAATCAATTATTACAGGCCAAATACAAGATTTTTTTTTTTTTTTTTTTTGGTCTTTTTTTGAGACAGGTCTTGCTATGCAGTTCAGGTTGGCCTTGAGCCCAGGCTGTTCTCGAACTCGCAACGATCCTCCCACCTCAGCCTTCCGAGTGCTGGGATTACAGACGTGAGTCACCACACCTGGCCAGATACAAGACTTTTACATATATGCTGCTCAAGTGAGCACAAGCCACAAGATATCTGATACTATTTCATCTAATTCTCTGAACCCAGGAAACGGGCCCTCAGCAGTGTTTAGATATAAGGAAGCCACTGTGCAGGGAGATGAGGCAGATACCTCACTCCAGCCTCTTAGGGGAAACACAAACACAGGTTCAGCTCTGGCTCCAGTCACTGTCCTCAGCCAAGTCTCCATCCTCCTGGTCATATGTGACTTTCTGCTAAGGTGGCTTTCAGTCTTTCTGCTAAACACAACACGGTTTCTGTCACTTGAGATCCAGAAGATGAAATGAGGCGGCAGAAGGCACACTGGAGAGTGGTATATTCCCTGTGTCCCCACAGCAGCAGATGCACCAATGATGGTTCCCTGGGACAGCAGGATAACATGAGAGGAAGCTGCCCTCCTCTGCAAGCGGGGAAAAGTCAGTGTATTAAGACAATGTGTCATTAAGGCTCATACTTTGGAAAAAGATTATTCAAATAAAACATGGTCACAAAAAAGATGGCATGACAATTAAGCACATGAAATAAGAGAGGGGGCGGAGAGAGAGAGTAGAGAGACAAAAACAGAGATGCCCTGGCACCAAATTGCCCAAGGGTTAGCAATTCATGCTAATCTATGTGATTATGGGCTGTTTTATTTTCTTCTTTATACATTTTATACATTGCATTGTACATGTATACATTTTATACATTGATTATTGTGGGAAAGGCTGTAAACCTAGTGCAGGGAGGGATGAGAGAGCAGAGGACAGGGTTTCTAGGGCAGTGAAGCTATTCTGTACAGTACAGGAGGGCATCGTGTCACTGCACATCTTCCCATCCCACAGGAAGCACAACGCCAAGAGTGAATCCTGACAGCACTGTGAGATCATGACGGGTCAGAAAAGATCCACCCACAGCCCAGAGTCTACTCCGGGGTGGGACATCAAGAGTCAGCGAGGCTGTGCATGAGCCGGGAAGGGAGTGCGTGGGAAATCGCTGGGCTTCTTGATTTTGTTATAAACCTAGGACTGCTCAAGAATAGTCTTAGCTGTAAGCACAGAAAATAAGACAAAGAGATGGAGGGAGCTGGGATGGAGGAAAAGAGAAAGGAAAGTAAAAAGCATTAAGATGCTTTGTGTACAGATATCAACTCCCCATGATGAGTGAATCACTGTACCCTGTATGCTGCAAACATATGCTAATAAAAATGTAAAACAATTAAACAAAACTCTCTCTCTCTCTTTTCATATATTTATATGAAAAGATGTGTACATTTGCTCAGATATAAAAAGATATAAAGACCAAAATCATGCCTAGTATTTTGGGGGAAAGGAAAGAAGAAACAGTGCCCAGAGGGACCAGCAGCAGCAGATAGGAAGTAGCTTGCTGAGAGAGCTGGAATAACGTGACAGGTGAGGAAGAGACACCTGGAGGCACCGGCAGCTGTGGTGTGCAAAGTCACTAGACACAGGGGTGGTGGAAAGAAAGAGAACTCGTGTATCTAGGCCAGAGAGGAATTAAGCCTAATAGCAAGACTGCCAACAGGAATCAGTGTAGCCACAATCAAGATATTTTATCTATGGCACTAGGAATTTTTCAAGAATTTACACTTACAGTACATTCATCACTAATAAATAAGCACTTTGAAAAAGAATTCAAAGTCAGAAGGAAACCAGACAAGCACACAGACAAGTCAGAGTTGTTCAGATGAAGATTTGAGTGAACCTAGACAGGCTCTGAATTGCTGAGTTGTGTGTTCCTGGATGGGTTCATTCACCCCCGCCGAGTTCCCCCCCAGTGGAGATTCCTTGTCTGCTACCTGGAGATAACACACCTGCATCACCCAGAAGTCAAGTGGGGTCTCTCTTGGACTTTGACGCACTGCTAATGCCTAGCTAATGTTGGAACCAGGCAGGCCAAGGGCACTTTATAAAGTTCCCACAAATGGAAGCTGGGTATTTCCAGATAAACGCAACAGAGACATGCAAAGAACAGGCACAGTAAAGTGAGTGCTCAGGATAGAGGCATCTGGAGGGTCACAAAGAACAAAAACGGTGGTACTGGAGCCCTGGGCACTTACTGCAGTTCTCCTCGTCGCTGCCGTCGGGACAGTCCTCAAACCCGTTACACCGGAAGCGGCCAATGATGCAATGAATGCCGCTGGCACATGGGAAGAAGGTCGGGCCACACTTCGATTTAGCTTTGGCTGCAGGGGAACAAAAAGACAGAGAGTAAGACATCAGGATAATGCGTCATCTGGCGCACTCTGAATGGGGTTCATCTTGATGTTCCCACAGGGATTCTTAACAAACCACCAGCTTCAAGCACCCAGCCAGTCTGAACAGCCATGCAGCAGCATCCTCTGGCCAGGAACTGGCTAAGTCTGCCAGACGCGGCACTCAATCAAAGCATGGGAAGAAGCAAGAGATACGTGAATGGGTGAGCAGAGGGATGATGGATGGAGCTTGCTTCTGAAGGTGCCGAAGAACCAATCAACTCCCTGGGTGCCTCAGACATCTCAGCTGACAGTTAATGAGTGCTCACTGTGCTCCAAATGCTCTGCCCAGCAGCCCCACAACGGTGAAGGGTCAGTACAACACCCCGACATCGCAGGCCTCACAAAAGTCTGCCTGCAAGGTTGGGTCCTGTATGCTGTAGTCAGGGAACATGGACAAAGGAAGTGAGGATTCCAATTGCCCTGACTAGTAAGAGTGGTTTGCTGCACCTAAATTGCCAGTGCCAGCAGTACAGTTTATGCTGAACACCAGCTTTCCCTATGAGGCTGGAGGTTTGGTAGATAGAGGATGTCAATGTAAGCAGCCCTGGATAAAAACTCTGGCCAGTGAGTTTCTAATGAGTTTCCCTAGTAGACAGCCCTTCTCACGCATCGTTACACTTGCTGCTAGGGGAATTAAGTGCATTCTGTGTGCTGTGACTAAGGGAAGATTCTTGCAAGCTGAGCCCGGTCTTCCTTGTACTTCAATGCATTCATCTGGGACTTTGTTGACTCTGCATTGTGTCCTTTTGCTGTAATAAACCATGGCCATGACATGATCATTTACTGATGTTTGTGAATCCTCCCAGAAAACTACAAGCCCTGGGGTAGCCTTGGACACTCCCAACACAGATGGGAATGGCTCCTCTCCCATTTCATGGATGTGCTTTAAGGATAAAGTAATGTGCCCCAGGTCACACAGCTGGAGAACCTCAAGCCAGGGTGAGGTCCTGGGCACAGGCTTCAGAAGCCATAATCTTAGCTCAATGGTGCTGTCTCACTGCCAAGGGCAGTCATTTTCTGCAACAGAAGCCAGACTCCTACTCCTAAGAAATTCGTCTTGCACTCCTGCTGTACAAACAGTTTGAACACAAACGGTCATAACTCAAGCTTGATTGAATGTCCCGCTAAAGCAAACAGCCCTGTGGGGTAATGCACTTTCTTTTTAATGGTGCTTGCTGCTCTGGCTGGCGATTGGGCGGTATAAGATTGGATCTATGGCTACATCTAGGTAGCAGTCCTACCGAGCTCCCCTAGCATCTCCAGGCTGAGACACGACCCAAGTCCTCACAGAAGGAAGGGCCGTTTCTCTGGGACAAGCAAGCAGTAAATTACCTCCATGTTACTGCTATTGGTAACACACTACTTTAGCAACAGCTAGTTTACAATCAACAGGGTGTGAAGACTTGAGGAGGCATCCACGCTTAGAAACCTCACGCTTAGAAACTGTGTTTCCACCTGGTCCTTCTGTAATGACGTGGGCATGCTCTCCTCAAAGCACACTCTCCAGGAAGTCTGGATTTCAAACTCTAGCTCCATTCTGATGGCTTTGAGCACATTTCTAAATACTGCTGAGCCTCAGCATCTTCACCAGCAAAATGAAAGTAGTGCTGAGCACTCGGTGAGAATCTATATAAGATGCCTAGTGTAGAGCATGGAATACAGCAGGTGATCAGTAAATAGGATGCGCACTGCTATCATCATCGTCGTCACCCTCATTAAGTTTAGAGAATTTAAAAACTGACCTTTGGACTGCTAGAAATTATTATCTGATCACAACAGTTCAAAAAACTCACAGTAGATGATGTCTATGAGTGAAATAAAGTGATTTCCAAGACACGTTGTTAAGCAGCACAGAACAGAAACCAAATATAAAAGAGTGGCCATAGTACATTTACCTCTATATAGGAAAAAGGAGCATAAGAAAATATACAGCATTGACTTATACACATGAAAGAACTATAAGAAAGGTAAGAAACTGAAGAGATCGGCTAGCAACAGGGTGAGTGAAAAGGAATGAGAATAATGGAAACTGGGAGCAGAATAAAGGCACAAGGATCTAGTGGTACACACATATTCAGTGCATCTGCCCATCTCAGCATGTTTGCATTGATTGAACGTAGAGAAATATTTATCTTAGAACCATGATATTTCACTCATCCTCAAATAAACAATTAGAATCCATCACATGAATTGGAGGACACTCAGTGGAAAATAAACAATACCAAATAAATATAATGTTATTACAGATGAACAATATTAACACAATGGAGAAAGGAGGAAAGAAAAGAATCTACCTACACTACCAGTAAACACTATTTTCCTGGGTTCTGTAAGAATAAAGAGAAGTAAAAGAACTGCACATAGACAACATAATATATTTGTCTCGTACTAAGGGTAGAGAATAGCAATTTTGAAACTACCTTTGTGTGTACAAGGGTTGAACGGATACATTAATATACTAAACAGTAAGAATGTCTTATTGTTTGGGGAAAGAAAGTGCAAGTCAAGAAGGTAGGAAAGTAAAATGAATAGTGAGGCTTTGGACTGGAATTGGACTCAAAGGTTTTAAAACTAAGCAAACAGAGCAACTCAATAGATCAATAGATGGGGGGAAATTGATTTGTGTATGCATGGATTAGTATGTATACCGATATATTACCTAGCTCTGTTTGTTGAAAGATACTAAAACCAGTGGTATACAAATGCCACCAAACCCCCAGTTCTTGGCTTCTAAATATTATTAACCAGCAAATGGAACCAGGTCCCTCAGAAAACCAGTTGATTGCAGATGGGACAGGATGATCCTGTGGTCCTGGAGTACCTTGTGTTGCCAGAAAGTAAAGAAGGGCTCAAAAGGTGAGGCAGGTCAAAGGTTCCCAATGGCCAACACTAGGACAATCGAAGCAGCAAAATAAGCAATAGTTTTCTGATTGTAGCCCACAGAAAAAACATTTCTGAGGTTTCTGAGGACACAGTGATGCCAAAAAATATTGAACAAATCAGTAAAGGATGGGTGAGGGACAATTCTTCCAGCCATGAAAATTCCCATATAAAATAATAATACATGCTTCCCATATAAATATAGAATGTGGGAAGCAGACAGTCACCAGTAAGTGAACAGCACAGTGGTAGCTGTTACATAGGCAGGTTCACCCATGGATCCAAAATTAGAAGGAGAAAGCTAGAGGAGAAATGGGAAATTTGCATATTCTCAAAGTGGCAAATGTTTATAATGTTGCTTTTTATAGTTATGACCATTACTCTACCACCAATATGTTTATTAGTTACAAAGGGAAAACAGTGACTTAATGGTACAGAAACTTGGCAGACAGCAGCTTAACTGAGTTATCACAGTCAACATGACAGCACCAAGACGTATCAATAGTGTACTCCCCCTCAAATGAGGAACTGAGACCATCGCCACGTCACTGCCGTGGTATTCTTGCAAAGCAAAGATGCAGAGCATCAAAACAATCAGAGGAACACCCCAGAACAGGAGGTCATTCGACCATACAGCCAACCAGAAACCTCCAATGTCATGAGAAACTTAGAAATTACCCAATATTGGAAGAGACAAGAATACTAAATGTAATATGGGGTCCTGGAACAGACATTAGTGGAAAAACTGCAGAGATCCCAATAAAGTTCTCTGTATGTAGTATAGCTGATGGCACTGTACCATGCTGACTGCTTATTTTTGACAACTGTTATGCCTATGCACAGTATTAGTAAGTAGAAGGTGGGGGAAGAGCATGAGAACTCAGCAGTATTATTGCAACTTTTCTGTGCAGCTGGAATTATTTCAAAATAAAAACCTACAGTTACATTCACGGTAGAGTACACAGAAACAGAACAGAAAAGAAAGAAATTACCTAAGATCTCTCCACTCCAAAGTAACTGTAATTAACATTTTCTATGCCAGTGATATCAGAATGTTCCAAGATGTTTTATTAATGTTCCATGATACTTTATTAAATTTTTAAATTTTGAGATAACTAAATTCACATGCAGTTATGAGCCATAATAGAGACCCCATATACCTTTTTCCTACCGTCCTCCATTGTATCACTGTAGGACGATATCATAATCAGGATACTGACACTGATATCGTAAAACACAGAATATTTCCATCACCACAAAACCCCACATGCTGCCCTACCGAAACTCTTCCATTTCCACCTTTTTATTACTAATGGTAACCACAAGTCTGTTCCACGTCCCTGTAATTTTGTCATTTTAAGAATGTTATGTAAATGGAATCATACATTCAGTAACCTTTTGGGAATGGCTTGTTTTCATTCAGCATGAAGTCTCTGGAGAAAATACATATCGTTTTGTATACTAACTCTTTTCACTTGCAATATAAATATTTTCCAGTATTTTTGTAGCTACAAAAATATTTCATCTTGCTGGCATAATAAGGTTATCTTCACCATTCCCTTCATGATGGGTGGCTGGTGCTATGATACAGATGTGGCTTGTCCTCCAAACGTTCATGTGTTGGCTGCCTCCTCTCCACCATGGTAGGACTAAGAGGTCATGGAACCTTCTAGTGCAAGGTAATTAGGTGGGTGAGGGTACCGCTCTTGGAAGGTATTAATGCTGGTCTAGAGAAACGAATTCGTTTCCGAAGGAGTGAGATGTTAGGAAAAAAAGGCAACTTTGAACCCCGAATTGCTCTCTGGTTTCCTGCCTCACAGTGTGATCTTCCCCCTCACATGTGGAGCTCCTACCCATGATGCCATGTATAATGTGAGCACCAAGGGACCCCCCTTCACCAAAGCTGAACAAATACCAATGCCAAACTCCCCAAACCAATGCCAAACTCAGGAACCCCACCCAAAAGTGTGTCAAACACATCTCCATTCTTTACAAGTCCCCCAACCTCAGGTATTTTGTTATAGCAACAGAAAGCTAATGGTTAAGAT